GTTTTAGGTAATCTAAGCGTAAAATTCAATTAAATGCGATAAAAGTATTGTGTAGTCCATTGAGTGGGGGATATGTATGTTGGAAATCCATACTATTATTAGTACATACAGTGTATGTGATTTATACTAGTATATTTAGTACTGGTGCTCAAAATGTTCATTCATAGCGATTATTAATGTGCTTAAAAATGTTTGTTATCTATGTTTTAAATATAAAAATCTCTGCAAAATTCTGTGAATTTTAATTATATTTGATTTCATGGTATTATATATGTGTGCAAAACAAATGTCAAAATTTTTCAACAGAAACCTACTATTAATTACAGTATAAATCATAAGTTTATGCGATTTTCATATCGATTTCAGTGCCGAGAATCGCGTATTAAATACTAGTATTCATGTAATGTATGGAAAAAGGCTTTTATGAGTGACTATTAAAAACAAAACATAATTATACTAGGCTCTTAGTTTAGCATTAATATATATGAATGCCTAGTATTTTCTCCATATATCTATTCGCATGAATAGCTAATATTACATTACGTTCAGTGCGCTAATCCTTTATTGAATTTATATTTGCCATTAACTGTATGTACAGTAACCAGACATACAATGGTCAGAGAGTTAATGGTATTTATGACTATACTTTTGATGCCTATTATATAACCTAAAACCCACTCATATTTTCTACCCATTCATGTACTCCTTAAGTACATTATATGAATACCATAAGTGAGTTCAATCGCATGGTAGGCACCGGTAGTTTACTCTAGAGGTTACAGTTTTTAGTTATGTACCAAAACTCATCATAAAGTAAACATAACTTCCGGGCAAACAGTAAATACAAAATATATTTCACCAACAAAATAGATAAATAAAATTTGCTAGCTCAAAAAAGCTACCCTTACCTATAGGCGTGGCTATGCCGTAGCCCTTACTGTCCAATAGGCCACCAATTTGTGTCAGATTACAGTTCCTCTGCACCATATAGTCTAACATTGTGCTGACCATTGCGTACATGAAAAACATACCATTAATACCGGAATATTCCGCGCACACAGACTATTCTCGACCTACCTTTCCATGAGGAACGCATAATTCCCGTCGACCACCCTCTGGACCCCCTCCTCGTAGGACTTGACGAACACCCCCTGTCTGTTCTCCATGAAGCGCCACATCTTGGAGTAGGTCTCGATGGTTGAGTCCCGGAAGAAAGTCATGGTGGAGCCCGACTCGAGCGTGCCGTACGTGATCTTGGACTGGGAAGCCAGGTCCTCGACCGACTCGATCGGTGTGATCATGCGCTCGACCGTGAGAAAGGCGGCCAAGTTGGCCGTGTACGACGAGATGAGTATCAGGGTGAAAAACCACCAGATCGCCCCGATGATCCGCGTGGACGTGGCTTTGGGGTTCAGGTCACATCCCTGTCCATAGGCATGGGGTTAGCATTTTTGTAGTGGTTTTGTGGTTTGTGTTATGGGAGGGTATGTTAGCTAGTAGATTCTTGATACGTTTTTTTGATTGAGTATGTTTTTGAATTTATTTGTTTGTTTGTGTATCTAGTATAGTTTTTGTTTTATGGCTAGTGTATTTTTTATAATATATTTTGTAACTATAATTTGATTTAGCCAGTAAACTTCCATTTTAATTATTATTATAATGGTAATTTAATGCAGCTAGTATAGTTTTAGTTAAATATCAATTTCTATTATAATTATAATATAGATATCATAGTATAGTGTTAATATTTTAGCTACTTAAACTATAGTTTGATTTAGTTTGCATAATTTTAATTTAATTTCAATTATAAAGTAAATAAAATTTAGCCAGAATAATTTCAAATAACAGTGTAAATACCTGATGCATAAGCGTTACAATAGTGAACCAAAAGCTATATTAATATTAAAAATGGGAAACACATTATGAGTGAAAAAAAATTAATCAAAAAGTCATTTATAAACCCATGAATGCATACAAAAAAATAGTGGACAGACCTATTAGCCATTGAAAACTGGTTCTCCATAATATCGCTGTCCATAACACCTGACATGACATACAAAATGGGATAAAAATTAATTGAATTTTTCACATGATTTATGATATGGCGGTCATAGTGTCGGTGCTCTAGTATACACAGTATATACAGTATACTCACATGGGTGTGGGTTACGCCACTCGTACGGACTGAACCTGGCCACTATGAACATGGTGATACTGACCACTATGTAGGCGGCCATTACGTACAGCCATATGTCCACGTCTAATGGGCTCATGAATGAGAATAGCCGGGTAGGCAT